AATAAAGATATTGTTGAAAAAAAAAAAAGAAAGGCTTCACCAAATCCATACTTAGGAAGCACTTTAAATAGGTAGTTCCACTCTATTCTGTCGAAAGCTTGACGTGCGTCTAATGAAAGCATCACTGTGTCCTGACAATTATGTTATTTATGCAATATATTAAGAACCCGTCTTATATTATGGTAGCCTTGTCTTGTTTTAATAAATCCTTGTTGGTCGTCGATTATTAAATTGGGTAAATACTTATCTAATCTCTTAGAGAGTGCTTTGTATCACATCCCATAAGACTGATTCCTCTATAAGAGGAACATTCAGTCGGGGGTTTATTTGGTTTTAGCAGAAGAGTTATTGTAGCTAACCTCAGTGATTCAGGGATTATTCCAGCTTTGTATGATTCCTCATACATGTTGAGAAGCGGAGAGATTAATTTATTTTTAAATGCTTTATAAAATTCTATTGGAAGTCCATCAGGACCTGGTGTTTTACCGCTATTCATGCTGTCTATTGCTTCAGATAGATCTCTTATTGTTAAAGGACTATCAAGAGTTGCTTTCTCCTCTTCTGAATTTTAATTGATTAAGAAATGCAGCTTGTGCTTCTTCGTTTCCAGAGTATTCAGATTTATACAAAGTTTTATAGAAATCTCTAAAATTTTCATTTATTTCTGAAGGGTCTGTTGTTAAAACGCTCAATATGGATTTTATGCTGTTAGTTGTTCTTTCTGCTTGCATCCGTTTTATCCGGGCCAATAATTTACCGGCCTTTTCTCCTTGATCATAAAATGCTTGTTTAGTCCACATTAAGTTTGTTGCCACTCTCTCTGTTGTTCATTTATCATATCTGGTTCTTAAAACATTCAGTTTGTGTAATTTTGTCTGATTATTGCTCTGATAAAGCTCTGCTTCGCTGGATTTGATTTGTCTCTCTAATGTTTTTACTTCTTGGTTATATTGTTTATTTTTATTACTGTTATAGCTGATAATTTCTCCCCTAATATAAGCTTTAAAAGCTTCCCATCTAATACTGGCTGTCGTTTCATTGTTATTCATTTCAAAATATTTGTCGATGCATGTTTCTATAAATGTAACAAATTTTGAGTCTTTTAGCAGAAGTGTTTGCATCCTCCATCGTTTCACCCCTTGATCAATCTTATTTACTTTCATTTCCAGAGACACTGCAGCATGATCACTAATTAAAACACTATCATACCAGCAGTTCTCCATGTGAGGCAGTAACTCCACAGAGAAAAGGAAATAATCAATAATCAATGGGATTGATGTGTGTTCGAATAACATGAACATTCCCTGTTGCTTGGGTTCCTTGTTCTCTGATTCCATTTATTCTTAAATCTTTTATATAATTAAGGAGTATTTTCCTGGTTTGTGAATGACGTTGAGTAGATTTATCCAGACTTGGGTTCAGGGTGCAGTTAAAGTCTCCTAATATAATATAAAGTCCCTCCAGGGTTGACAAGGTTAAGAATACATTTTCATAAAAGGATGGATTATCATTGCTAGGTCCATATATATTTATCAAATTTAATTTTAATGTTGAAATATGTCCCTGCACAATGATATATCAAATTATAAATAATTAATCAAATTAGATTCTTGTAGAAAAAATATTTTAGATTTCAAATATTTTAATCAGTCTAATACTTGTTTTAATTTAGTAAGCTTTCGTATTCCTCTGACATTCCAACAAGTGATTTTGATATTCAAAGCATTTCCCTTAATTGTCTTCTCCATATCAGATTATTTAATTTACTATTGGACTAAAAATAAATCAGTGAAGGTAGAGCTGCAAAGGCAGGTTGGCACATGCATTCACACAATCATCCATACAACACAGAGCTAGTCATAAACAATCCCCAAATGAACTTTTGCATTTCTTTATCTGAAATGGAACCCGTCTGATCCGTACCATCTGTGCAGATAGATCCTGTGCAAACACGATTTTGGCCCCATCATATGTAATTTCTCTTTTCCTTGCCTCTTGGTACACAGATTCCTTCTCCTGGAACTTTAAAAAGTGAATCAGAACCACTCCGCCTTGGTTTGGTTTCCCGGAGGCCGGTGTGCGGTGTACTCGTTCCAATGTGAATGATTTATCCGGTGCTAGCTCCAGGCATTTCGGTAGCATGTTGCTAATAAAGTCAAAAAGCAATTTTCCTCCCTCTGCTGCCTCTCGAATGCCAAAGACACGTAGATTATTTCGCCTTCCTCGGTTTTCCAAGTTGTCTGTTTTGGCCTCAAGATTCTTTTGATTGATCATTTATTTCGAACACTTAATAAAAAGCAAATATAAGTAAATTAATAAAGTCATACAAAACAAAACAAAAAAAGAAGAAAAAGAAAAAAAAAAACATATGTACATCCCATCATGTTCGAAAAGGAGTAGGAAGAAGTAATAAAACTTATTAAATCCTACCCCTGTTCTATATTAACATCTACCAATGTTTAAGCATACATACATATCTATATATACACACACACACATACATATATACATATATATATATATATACACACACACACACACATACATATATACATATATATATATACATACACATACTCATAGATACCTATACATATATATACACACATGCATACTTACACATACACCCGTATCTCAAACACATACACACATACATGCATATACATACACACCCCAATTACTATAGACAGTATACACATATCTCTATCTACGTACACGTATATCCATACATATCCATAAACCAAAAACCTTTTTCTCTCACACTTTTTTTTATTTTTTATTATTTCATCTCTCTTGACTTCTTATCGATTTTAATTCATAGTGGCAGAGCAAGTTCTATTCCCCCTCAAGCCCCCTCCTCCCTGTATCTTGTAAAAATCATTTGTTTATATTTGTTTTTAAACTGGTTGATGTTTGGACATTGCTTCAAATCCATGCTCAGTCTGTTCCATAGCCTCACTCCACTATTTGTTATACAAAATCTTTTCCTTGCAGTTCTGTATCTTTGAATCTTAAAATTAGTTATCTCCCTTAAATCATACCCCCCCTCTCTCTCATAAAACAAATTTGTCAAGTGACTTGGTAACAGCTTATTTCTAGCTTTAAATAGAAATTGTGCTGTTTGGAATTCTATCATATCATAAAGCTTCATGATTTTAGACATTATAAATAGTGTGTTGGTGTGTTCTCGATATCCAACTTTATGAATTATTCTCATGGCTCTTTTTTGCAATATGAACAGTGGCTCTAGTGAACTTTTATATGTGCTTCCCCATACCTCTATACAGTAAATTAAATGAGGTAAGACCAAAGAACAGAACAGAACGTTTCATAGCTGAAGTCAACAATGTTTCTGTTGTTTCAACCGAGCTTTCTACTTCTGCAATGCGAGCCTCGGCCTCCTCCATATGAGCCGCCTGGTTAATAGGTCTTGTTTTATCTCAGACACTTTAGATTCCATTGCATACATGGCGCTCGCCATTCCAGTCAGTCTTTCATCTATACTATCCAGCTTTACTCCAAAGTCTGACCGGAGCGATTTTAGCTCTTCCAACACTTCAGCTATGCTAACCATATTAGCATCTTCACGCACGTTGTACCCGGTGCTGTTTTGGTGGCTGTCTTGTGTCTTTTTGAGAAAATTTCGCACTGTTTCACAGACGGAGCTTTAGACATATCAATGTTGTATCTTTTGAGCCTTACTTGCAGCTTTTAAAAGGGTTTTGAAAGAAAGTTTCAAACACTGTCCTCAGAGTTATTTACTGTGCTGCCATCACGGTTCTCGGTCACATGACCCTCCCAAGAAGTTTACATTTACAAAAAGGGAAGTGCAGGTTTATTCCCGATGGTGATCAGACACCTGCAACCACACAGCTGGATAAGGCACAACATTTCCCTTTTTGGGAGAACCATTTATTACATTTGTAGCAGGCCAAATGCCTGGAACTTAATACAAATACAATTATAACATTTACATTTTTCTAACAGCCTGACTCCATGCCACCCTGCAGAAAAAGAAGGAATAACCCTGAAAATGTGAACTATCCCAGACCACAGTGAGATTTCTGGGTCCCATCATCACAGAGACCCAAAGAGTCCACCATGGGACTGAAAGAGCCATTAAATGTGGCAGAACCGAGGTGAATCAGATGGGCAAGTTTATTGGTCATGTAGCAGAGAAAGCAGATAAATAGTTGGCCCTGAGAGATCTGTTGTCCAAGAGAAACAGCTGGTATTGGGGTCTCACCCCCAGTGGTTGCAATGTATGACCTGATGGAGACTCCAAGGTATCATCTGATGTTTCATTGTTCGGAGTGGGTGTTGTTCTCTGACATCACTGGGAAGACAACTGGCAACCAGTAGCTTATGACCAGTAGGACCAGTAGCTTATGCTTGGAGGTCTTTCTCTCTCTCCCACAGATCATCGTTATGCTCTAGTAGAAAAAGAGGCTCTAGCTTCTGCAGAAGAGGGAAAACCTTCTGCCTGGAACTGATCAGTAGTTTCATTGCTCCACCAAGGCGTAGGGAAAGGTAAAGCCCCAGATTCAACACCTTTGTTTCTAGATGTTGGAGCTTGGCCTGTTTTCCAGTGTAGTCCTGTTTCTCTGACTGTGAAGAGAAACAGGATGGAGATTTCCGTTGTCATGAAAAAAGGATTGCCAATTATTAATGTAGCCCACGTTGTTTTCAGGACACCACCTAGACAACCAGTGGTTGAATGACGACATGCGGCTAAACATGTCATCACTCTCCGACATTGTTTTGGCAAACTGGTACATTGACGAGAGGCAACTTTTAGTGACCTTTGATCAGCGTAGCCTACATGGAGAACGGTCTTCCTCTTTGTCCTCAGCCGTCTGTCTCAGCAGGGACATGATGTCACCTGTTCTGGCCCCATGATTGTGTCTCTAAGGCCATGTTTAATAATAGCTTTAATCAATGGTTAGTGAATGATTTTTGTTTCATATCAACTAAAGTTTCATTTCCTTTCATTTCCTTCTTCAGCTCATCTGAAACTGTGTTGAAAACTCGACTGAAGCTGACCTGAAACTGACTCAAGTCACTCCTGAGTCCCTACATGTTGCTCTCACAAGTTACGCCCACTCTCTTCCTCAGTGGGGCTGATGCCCCCCTAAACGCTGCTCTGATGTCACAGAAAGGCATCACCTTGATTGTCAATGCCACGCTGAGTCATGCCTTCCCCTCCTACCCAGGGGTGGAGTGTCTCCGCGTCCCCGTCTGTGATCTGCCCTGTGAGCGGCTGGAAGCTCATTTCGACCATGTGGCCGATCGTATCAATGGAAACCACACAGGAGGCACGCTGGTGCACTGCGCCGCCGGGATGAGCCGCTCTCCGGCTTTGGTGATGGCGTACCTGATGCGGTACCGTGGCGTGACGCTGTGCCAGGCCCACCGGTGGGTCCAGGAGAGCCGTCCCTTCATACGGCTGAACGTAGGTTTCTGGGAGCAGCTGCTGCGGTACGAGAGGAAGCTGTACGGCCGCAACACGGTCAGGGTGGAGCCCGACAGGGCGGGTCTAAAGAGGGTGGATCCAGGTATGGTGGTTCCTCTGCGGACGGAGCCGACCCGGGCTGAGGGGACGCAGAAAGACAACCGGTTAAAATCTGTACCTAGGTCACCTGGGACAACCCATACTCCCATGATGTCTCGCTCTCGGAAGACGATGTCCACCAATCCATCAAAAAGAGGGTGTTATCAGAGAGCAGCAGAACAACAAGCAGACAGCTGTGAGTAGGCGGAGCCAAGATACCTGGACAGGTGTGGAGCACCACTGTTAAACCTGCAGACTGATAGCTCTGTTAGCAGACAGAAACTTTCCCAGGGCTTAAAACGTGAGCGAGGACAGCAGAGTATTAGGATCAGACTAATTACAATAGTCCAGCCTTGAAGTAACAAATGCATGGACTAGTTTCTCAGCATCACCCCTGGACAGGAGATTGCTCATTTTAGCAATATTCCTCAGATGAAAGAAGGAAATTCTAGAAACCTCTTTGATCTGGGATTTAAATGACAGGTCCTGATCAAAAATAACAGCAAGATGTTTTACTTTATTATCTGAAATCAGTTTAATCCCATCCAAATGAAGTGACTGGCTAATCAGCTTCTTTTTCAGAGACTCTGGTCCAAAGACTATAACTTCTGTTTTGTCTGCATTCAGAAGCAGAAAGTTAAGAGTCATCCAGGTTTTTCTGTCTTCAGACATGCCTGTAATCTATGTAATGGGTTAGCTTCATCTGGATTATAGACAGATATAGCTGGGTATCATCAGCATAACAGTGGAAATTAATCCCATGCTGTCTAATAACTCTACCAATTGGGAGAATATTGGAGTTAGATTTGTTCAGGTCTTCCTTTGCTGTCCCTGCATTAATGCTCAGACATGCAGCAGCAGCCTCTGTCCTTCAGTCCTCAGAATGAGCAAAGTTCCTTTTTAACCAAATAGCCATTCTGGGATGGATCAACATGTTCAAAATAAGCAAGATTTTATAACTTCACATTTGGCACATTCCCAAAACTCACTGAATTTGAAAGAATCGATTCTTAAACTGCTGGAGGACATGGGGGATGTTCTCATCATTCTGCTTCATTCTATCTCTATAGTTCTGCTGCTATAGGCTTAGACTGCTGGAGGACATAGGGACCCCTTTTTCATCATTCTGCTTCATTCTATCTCTATTCTCCCACTCTGCAGAATCTGTTAGTTCAATCTCTAACGTTCTGCTCTCTCTGCTTTTTCTCATAGTAGCTTCATCTGGTCTGTTCCTGTTTGGCTGTGACTCCATCCTGGAGAGAAATATCAGCTGTGCTGCTGCCATCAACACCTTCAATCACACGCTGGGACAGAATTGTTGGCAGCCAGCGTTCCCTCTACTGTCCCGTGTGTCTCTGCCCCCTGAGCTCGCTGAGGACCCCTATGAGCAGCATCATCTGTTCGCTCTGAGGTCACTCACCAACCTTACACCTGTTAGAAACACGGGAAGATCGCAGGTTACATGGATTAGGAAAATAATCTGTTTACAGCTGCAGGTTCCACCAGTATGATTTGAATAGAATTGATTTGGTCCATTTTAAATAAAATCATGTTCCTGAAATGCAGTGTGTTATCTGTCAGAGTCTGATGTTACACCTTTCAGACGGAACCTTTGTTCACATTAAAACATTAACGTTACGCAATGAAACGTGCTGAGGCTGAATGTTTCAGTTATTTTAGCATTCCTTCTCACATAAATGATATGATTGTGAAAGCATGAGTAATATGCATAAATAAAAAATTAATGTCACTAGAATATGAACAAATCAGACTTTTTGTCCACATCTTCTCCAATGGTTTTCCACCTTATCCTTACATTTTAATGCAAGAAATAAATAAACATTCACCTTTGAAGAAATTCAGGGTAAAAGGGGCAAGAAAATCCACAGTTTTCTCCAGATCTGTTAAATAGCATTAATGAGCGTAATAAATCAATAGGACAAGGCAAGACAGAGTCCCTGCCAGTGATTGGTCACGTTTAGACGGCTTCAAAATAAATACACTTTGCTTATTAAAAAGGCCAAAGTAGAATTGTTTTTGTCCATCATCACTGAAGAACTCAATGATCCTCTGAAATCTCTGTCGTTTAATAATAATAATTCTCAGACTTTTCCAACATTTCTAATTAAAGACTCAGTCCCAGTTTATGATTGAACTAAAATCTTGGATTGTTTTAACAGCATTTTTTATCATCTGGTTCTCTATTTGATTTAAAACAGAAAACTACCAGGAATGTTTCTGCAGAATCTCCCATGTTTTGTGGAGCGCCTTTTAATTTAAAGCACATAAAGCTTTAAGAACATCAGAGCCCAGAAAGCCCCCCCCCGACCTGACTGGACTGAGCTTAACTTCCTAAAACTGGCAGCTGGTTTCATAGCAGAGCTGCTGTTCGTTCTGTTTAATCGTTCAATTGAAAACAAGGACATCTCGTCTATTTGGAAATCTGCTTTTATCCTTCCTCTATTTAAAGGAGGTGATCCATCAGTTCTTACTAATTATAGGCCAATTTCTAATTTATATGTTTTATCTAAAGTTCTGGATCTCTTGTTTGTGATCAATTGAAAGAGTTCCTCCATTCAAATGAAATTCTTTCTAAATATCAATCAGGTTTCAGAAACACACAGCAGCACTATTACTGCTACTGGGAAGGTGATAATGATATAATTATAACACTTGATAAAAACAGGACTGAGCTTCAGTCTTTATTGATCTTTCTAAAGCGTCTGAAATCATAGACCTGCTATTTTAAAACTGAGCTTCTTCTTTCGTAATAAGACATGTTTTTCTTTTGGAGTAAAAAGTGCCTCGTCTCTGCCACGTTTTTGTCGTTCTTAGATTCTGGTGACCTTTTTTATCAGAATGCTTCTTCTTCATGTCTTCAAATGTTGGACTCTGTTTCCCATGATGCATTAAGGTTCATCCCAGACTGTAGATCATGACATCACTGGTACCTGTCCTCTCAGGTGGGACGACCTTCCCTCTCTACCAGAAGGTCATTGCTTCATGTTTATTTCTGAGGTCCTTCTTGGCTTTCTGCCCTCTAACGTCTGTACCTTCCTTCCCCAGTAAAGCTCGGCTTCTCCTGTGCTTATATCCACCATCAGCTGCTGCTCTCTGCTCCTTTTGCCCGAACAGAACTGGGGCAGAAAGCCTTCAGCTACGCAGCTCCTTCTGGGGGGAAGATTTGACAGAGAAACTGGAAGTTGACTGAGTTTTAATCTTTGAATGGTTTTAAGTTAAAGTGAAAGAATTTGATGTACCTTTCATTTAATGTGATGTTTCTCTGTCTCTTATGTAACTTTGCTGCCTCTTGGCCAGGACTCGCTTGAAAAACAGGTTTTTATTCTCAATTGGATTTTTTTTTTCTAGTTGAATAAAGGTTAATAAAAAAAAAGATCCAACAAATAGTCATTGGCTCTGGGATGCATGGACCAAAAATCACACAGGAGTCAGAGATTTGATAAGCTGACAACACTAAAGATGAAAAGAACAGGAAGACAAAGATGAATTCATAAATAGAACTGCAGGTAGATATTTTTTAAGACTATAAAAAAGATCAACAAGAGGACAGATGATGATGTCACAGACCTGCACAACACTGAAAAGGAAGAAAAAGGAGAGAAAATGTCTTTAAAGCTCAACCTTTGGCTCAAGCAACCATTGGCCAATAGAGAAAGCTTCCTGCAGCATGGAAACACTTCACTAGTTAAACCAGACGAATGGAAGAAAGGTTCAATGAAACTGAGACCAACCTGGAATAAACATCCCTGATGTACTGAAGAGTCACATTAAACCATAACACAGCCGGACAATGCTAAAGCCCAGAGTTAAATGTTAGAGCCAGTTAAACTTTCCCCTCCTGTAGTGCAAAATATTTCCTCTGAATGAAAACAAAGCCAATGGGAAAGCTGTAATCAGAGTATCTGTGCAACAAACGGAGAAATAAAACACCAGGAAAGTTAGAGACACTTTAAAGGGGTGATAGAATGCAGAGTTTCCATGGTAACAGATGAACAACGATAGTTCAGGGGGTGAAATGGATGTACAGAGAAGTTCTAATCCCATCAACTCCTCCTTTCTCTGCAAATATCACTTTTCTAAACTTCCACCATAAAACGGGAGAATCCAGACCAGCCCCTAAGCTGTTGATAGCAATGCTAGCATATCTATGGTGACCAGGGCCGTTTCTCCTTTCACGAGAAGGCGAGTCCGTATTCGTCTTCTCATCAAGTCCGGTCTTGGCAAGAACACAGGAAAGTCTGGACTTGGTGAGAACGGGAGCATCAGCATAGATATAGGTAAACTGGAACAGAAGCGTACTGATGACATCACCACACGCTCTGCTCGTCTGGAGCTGCATTTAACCTCCTGTTATCAATAGTCTCTAGATGATAATAAGTTCTGACTTTTTTCCTTTAGTGGGGGAATAATAATGAATACAGATAAACACAAATCAAATAAAGATTTTACCAAATAAAACAAACAAAATCGCCATCAGAGTCAGCTGCAGACAGGCTAACGCTGGCGCTGACTGCTGCAGACAGGCTAAGGTTAGCCCTGGCCGCTGCAGACAGGCTAACGCTGGCGCTGACTGCTGGAGACAGGCTAAGGTTAGCCCTGGCCGCTGCAGACAGGCTAACGCTGGCGCTGACTGCTGCAGACAGGCTAACGCTGGCGCTGACTGCTGGAGACAGGCTAAGGTTAGCCCTGGCCGCTGCAGACAGGCTAACGCTGGCGCTGACTGCTGGAGACAGGCTAAGGTTAGCCCTGGTCGCTGCAGACAGGCTAACGCTGGCGCTGACTGCTGCAGACAGGCTAACGCTGGGCTGATGCTGCAGAAGCTAACGTGGCGCTGACTGCTGGGGGGA